CCATAGAGTCACTCAGAAGTGACCTCATTCTGTTTGGGGAACGAAAACACCTCTTACTGAGGAGGCTGTAAAACATTTAGGATCTAGTCTCTTATGGTCTTACATCTTGACCTTAGGATTGATTTCTAGTACTACTGTGCTGCAGGTAAGTGGCTCAGTTGAGCACAGCTGTATTTAAACAACTTTGATCCCCTAGTGTGATAAATGGACCCAGAGGTGACCATTTGTAAAAAATTTGAAAAAATATTTCCATTGTTTCACTTTGAAAAATATTGCTTTTGTTAAACCCAGTGTTTAGTTTTTCTTGTAATGCATTTTGTTAACCTGTGTAAAAGGATTAAATTTCATTATGGTTTTTAAAATGCTATTTTTATGTGAATTTAAGGGCAGCCCCATATTGTTTTTTAAAACCATATGGTTTACCACTAATTTCCCAAAGTTGCAATAAACTCTAAAAAGAAAAAAAAATGGCCTCATATATACGATGGGACTCAAATTTAGACTTTTGGCATCGTTCCCAAGAGAGAGTCCCAGAGAGTCAGTCGTGACAAGAATGGTGTGCTCAGTTTGCAAAAATCTATCAAGCTATACACTGAGTATATTTCCACTTTTCTGTATGTATTTTATACTTCAGTAAAAATTTAAATAACATTTTCTGCACTTTGTGTTACCCTCTTTAGGCATTTCTCTGATTTTTAATTTAGCAGAAGTCTCAAAAAAAAAAAAAACAGTGGCCTGTGACTCTCTCTGGACATCTGAGAGCCCGTAGAGGGCGCTCGTTCTGCACCGGAGACTTTTAAAAACAGCTTTATTGAGAGAATTCACCATACAATTCACCAGCTTAAAATGTACAACTCGATGGTTCTTAGTATATTCACAGAGTTATGCATCCTTCATCACAGTCAATTTTAGAATATTTTCATCACTGCAAAAAACAAACAAACAAACAAACCTGCCCTTTAACTATCACCTTCCCATCTCCCCATCTCCCCCTTCCCAAAGTAACCACTAATCTACTTTCTGTCTCTATAGATTTACCTATCCTGGACCTTTCATATGAATGGAAACAAACAACGTATGAACATTGGCAATAAATCTGATGCCCATCACCAAGAGACTGGTGAAGAAACTATTCAGGTGTTAAAATGATGTTCTTGAATGTATTTCATTATGGAAAAGCTGTGCCGTTCTCTGGGTCCGTTGTGTTTCTTCTATGGTCACAAGTTGGCTCCAGTTTTGTAAAAAAGAAAAAATGTATATATAATATTTATATGATTTGTTAAGGAACTGCTTCCAGTAGAAACTGGCTAATAGACAGTGGGGGGGGGGGAGTAAGTGAAGAAGCCAAGTTAAGTGCAGCCTGATCCTGAGGGGAACTCTAGAGCAAACATTATACCTCAACAAATATTCTGGGAATTCCCTGGTGGTCCAGAGGTTAGGGCTCCATGCCTCCACTGCAGGGGGCACGGGTTCAATGATCCTTGGTCGGGTAAGATCCCTGAAAACGGCCTGGCACATCCACAAAAAAAAAATTTTTTTGGCTTCAAAGAGACAGACAACAAATAAGGGGTGGGTGTGTGTGTTCATGTAGAGCTACAGAGAACATGAAACAGGAATGAGGTTGGGAAAGAGGAAAACATTTCAGAAAGTATATATGGAGATTCCAATTTTAAGTAGGGTGGTCCAGAAACTCCATACTGAGGTGATTTGAATAAAGCCCTGGAGGGCAGGGCGTGATCCAGGCCGCTATTTGGAGGAAGAAATGGCCTGGCAGAGGGCACAGAAGAGGCAAAGGCCCTGAGGCAGGAACACGCCTAGCATATTCCAGGAACCACAAGGAAGCAAGTGTGAGGCTAGAGCAGAGTGGGACTGGGCGCACAGAGTAGGGGACAAACTCAGAGAGGAAAGGGGAGGGAGGTGGGCAAATGACACAGGGCTTTGAAGACACTGTAGGCACTGTGGCTTTTACTCTGAGTGGTCTGGGGAGCCACTGTAGGGAAGTGAGCTGAGGAATGACTTGGGCCGACTTGTGTCTATGTAAATCGTATGCATCTTCCGGGGTGGAGGGGCAATATAGCTTCCCTCAGATTCTCAGAGGAGTCTAATAAACCATCACAAAACAAAGAACACGTGTAATGTTGGCTTTCCCTTTAATGGTGCCCCTTTGTCTTTGCAACAAGGCAGAAAAGCCTTTGACACTTTCCTGCCAGCATCGGGCGTGGTATTTGCTCTGGGGAAACCGGGACGGGAGGCAAGAGGGGGTGGGGAGGGCAGTAACCTCCCGGGGCACACCGTGGCCCAAGCGCCGCGGATATCAGGTCTCCCGGGCTCGCCCACCAGTACTGGTGCACCAGCCAGTGCTCGACCTCCGCAGGCCCAAAGCGACGAGGATCTACAGCCTTCCCCACACGCGGCCCCGAGCTCACAGTCTCCGCAGGAAGGGTTGGGCCCTGCCGGCTGGCTTTGCTGGGGCCCCGCGTTGCCATAGGGACCCTGGCAGGGCTTGGGACGCCGGAACGCGCGCTGCGGACTACTGTTGAGGCTGGAGGCTGCGGGCGGCGACTCCACCGCTCTCGGCCCAGGACTCCAGATGCAGGATCCGCCCCGCAGGAGAGCGCAGGTGAGCCGGCGTAGGTGTGACGAGGCGCGGGCTAGCGACTGACCCCCAGCCGTCTAGGCCCTGCTCCTTCCACCTTCCATGGTGGTAATTATTGTTATTCAGTATCAAAACAACACGAGTAGAGTACGCGCACCGAGTGGCAAAGCCGTCTTTCCTTTTTTTTTTTTTTTTTTTTTTTTTTTGGGTACCACGTGAAAACGGAAGCATACAATATTTGTCCTTTTGTGTCTGGCTTGTTTCATTCAAAATTTTTTCAAGGTTCATCCATGTTGTAGCGTGTGTCAGAATTTTACCTTTTTTTTTTTTTTTCTGGCCACGCAGCGTGGCTTGCGGCCACGATCTAACTCGCGCCTTGGCAGTGAAAACGCCTAGTCCTATCCTAACCACTGGACCGCCAGGGAATTCCCCAAAGCTTTCTTTTCCTATCAGGAGCTCTATGTATTAAGACCACAACCTCCTGTAGGGTAGAATCTACGTTCCTGAAAGTGTGGGACAGAGGATGAGTTACACTGATGAAGCATTAAGTATCACCCAATGACATCGTAAGAAAGTTATTAGATTCTGGGTTCTCCTATGGTTCTGAGTAAGCCAAGGAGAAAGTGTCAGTTTGGGGCTAATATGGCATTAACACCTTTCTGAACATTTGCTAATCTCAACTGTAAGCCCCAGTGTCTAGCTAAGACTTAAGTAATGTTTGCAAAATCTTCCTTGGATAAATGTATTGATTTTTTAAGTGAATTAACTTCAATATAAAGATTAATCATAGTACACATGGTACATGCAAATGGGAGAAAAAAGAAAAACATTACATTTAGGACCTGAGACTGTTTCCCTCTGCCCAGTTTTCACCCTGGCTGTTTTCCTTGCCTGGAGTGACTTTCCCAATTCCTAGGCATGATTGTCAAAATACGTACTAGCCAGTACAGTTGGCCAGCTTAGTCAGAATCACTGAGGCCCCTGCTGTGGCCCTACAGGGAACTCCTTCATAAGCAGGGCCCAATGCAAAATGAAAATGTGAGGCAGTAGCTCATACAGTATTAAGAATTTCAAAACAGCGACAGAGCCAAGGCCAAGTACATGCCCCTCTAAGGACCAGGCCCTGTGCAACTGTTCAGGTTGCACACCTGTGATGCTGGTCCTGGGTGGGTGGATGCCTCGGGCACCAAGATCTCCTGAAACCTGCTCAGCCCTGAGGTCATTCTCATTGGTCAATACCTCTGCCTGGGAATTTCCTGGCAGTCCAGTGGTTAGGACTTCGTGCTTCCACTGCAGGGGGCCTGGGTTCTATCCCTGGTGGGGGAACTAAGATTCCACAGGCCAACGAGGTGCGAGGTGCGGCAAACAAAAACAAAAACAAAAAAGTCTTCTGCCTGCTGATGGTTAAATAGTTCACTCTAGTCCCCCACCCCCATCCCCTCATTCCCCCATCCCTCCACTCCCCCACCCCCATCCTTGGCTGCTAGCACTGCTTGAGTGTGTGTGTGTGTGTATTTCCCATCTATGGAGCAGGATAGATGGTACCTGCCCAGGGGAAACAGAGATCCCCAGATTTGGAGACCATCTTTGTCACCTTGCACAAGTCCCCTGGAGACAAACAAATAGACATGAATGTCTGCACTGGGGACATGAAGAACATAGATGGGGGGCTCCCAGTCTGGGGAGAGACCCAAAGTCTCTCTGAAACCCCATCAGGCAGGGTGGGGAGGAGAGCCCTGGTCTGATGAAAAAACCTAACCAGGCAGACAGGAAGAGTGCCTAGGCAGAGGGCAGAGGGCAGAGGGCAGAGGGCAGAGGGCAGAGGGCGATCAACCATCCTGGTGTGCCTGGGACTGTTCCAGCTTTAGCACTGAAAGTCCAATGTCCTAGGAAGCCCCTCAGTCCCGGGCAAACCGGTACAGAGGGTCTCCCAAGAGGCAGTCTCTTTAGTTGATGGGCTCTCCTGACGGCTCACAAACCCCTGCAAAGCCAGCCCCTAGGCTTTTCTACCATCCTGTCCACCAGGCATAGGGGGCAGGACCCAGGGGGCTAACGTGTTGGGTGTTGAGCCAGTGGTGGTAGCGGGGGTGCCCCTGTGGGCTGTGCCATCACGGCTGTCTGCCAGCCCAGACAGAGTGGCCTGGCTAGGCCCCAGCTCCCCAGAGTGGGTTGTAGTGCTCACGACTGAGGGCTCCAGGCCCACATCCACTCTGGTTGGTCATACTGGTTATTAAATATGTGACTTTTACCCTCTCCTCCAGGGCAGCTTCTTCCTGATGTCATCACAAACCCCTCTGCTCTGTTGGTTTCCCTGGGTTCCCATCCCAAGCAATTGTGCCATCACATCCCCCGCCCCAAGGGGCCCCTGGAGAGGCAAGGGAAGAGAGAGCCTCCCAGGGGGGGGTCAGTCCAGCACAAAAGAATACCCCGCAAGGGCTGCTCATCTGCCCTGGGGACTCAGAACACACGTGACTCATCCCACTTGACCTCAGACAAGTGTCTCCCTGGGAAGCCCCAGGATCCTGGCATTACTTACGGCAAACTGAGCCCCTGATGTCCCTAACCCTTTGCCGGCACCCTCTGGCCCACAGAAGCAGCCACCATGCCTATCTCCAAGTGCCCGCCAAAGTCAGAGCCCCTGTGGAAAGCGTGGGACCGGAAGGCCCAGAAGAACGGCCTGAGGCACCAGGTGTTCGCTATCAATGGCGATCACTATGTGGGCAAGTGGAAGGACAACATGAAACACGGTAAGTGGGGGACCTTCGGGGGCTCAGGCAGTGAGTATGGGGTCTGGGCCATGGTGGGCAACCGGGGCCAAGGAAGCAGCTTGCATAGCTCACTGGGGATATAACATGTATCTCTGAGGAGTGAATGCTGACTTGGACCAACCAGGGGCCTCCTCCTGCTGGGGTTCTGGAACCCACCTCGGCCCTGGTTTCAGCTGAGCAAAGGGACCAGTAGGGGACAGAGCAGTCTTTAGGCACCAGCCACAGCCTCAGCCGGGACTCTCAGGACACCAGCTCATTCTCTACCTCTGACACCTGGGCTAAGCATGGGGCTGGCTAGCAGGAGGAAAAGGTGGCCCCCAGGAAGCAGCTTGCAACTGGGATTCTGGTCTTCAAATTCAGCCCTTCAAACCAGTAGTGGGGGAGGGAGGACACCCGCCATCCCCCACTTCCTACCCCCCCACCCCCTATACGTCCACCCCCCACCCCAAATGGCTGGAGCTCTGACTTTAACTGGGCTGGGCTCAGTTTAACTAGCAGGGAGTATGAGTATGGGGCTCTTTGTGATACAAACTAAGCCCTGAAGAAAAAAAATAGTTTTTATTCAAAAAAGGTGTTATGGCTTCTCAGTCCAGTCTTGCAATTCCAAATTCTCTGCTCTTAACCATTCTTCTCTCCTGCTTTCCTGCGTTAACTGCTTGAGTCCATAAAGCTGGGTCAGAATCTCAGCTCCAGTAAATATGACCTTGAGAGATCTACTACACTACTCTGAGCCCCAGTCTCCCCATCTGTAAAATGGGAATAATACCTATCTGTTAAGAGATGACATCTATCAAGTATTTAGCCAAGGGTCTGTGCAGAAGGGAACTTCTGGCGTGTTCTCGGGGGGCTGACCATGGCAGGGATCACTACTTAGAGCTTCCTTGTCCAAGAAGGCCCCCAAAGTTGACCTCACCCACTGTGTAACACAACACTCACCCTCAGCACTGACTTAAAGGCCAGGGTTTAAGTAGCTGCTTGGAGCTCTACGTGTGGTTAAAGATGTCTGCCTGCATGTTTCAGTCCTTGTGGGCAGCCTGCAGTGTGGACAGAGCCCTGAACTAGGAGTCAGGACCCTGAAGTTCTGAGCCTGGCTCTATTAGTGAGCAGCTGTGTGACTTTGGGTAAGTCATTTCCCATTCTCTGGACTTGGCTGCCCTACCTGTGATATGACCTTGTGGGTTGGTGTGGCCCTCTGAGCCCTCCTGTGTGAGTCCTGCCTCCCCTCAGACTCTGGAGGCATAGAGCTGATGGGGCTGGGGCTGCAGAAAGCAGATCTGTCAGAGAACCCAGGTCCAATGCCCCCTCTCTTGACTCACCTTTTGACAAAGCTGAAGTGGGTTGCTGTAGTATAAGCAGGCTGGAAGCAGTCAAGAGAGCCGTCATTCAGGGCAAGGATAGGGTGGCCCCAGTGGTTACCCAGACCACTCACTCCACTAATACTCATTGTGCTCCTAGTCTGTGCCAGGCCCTATACTGGGCATCTGGAAGAATCCCAACACTCAGGGTCCTTCCAGTCTCACTGACAACCTGCACAGTAGGTAATGTCCCATTTTACAGATCAGGAAACTGGGGCTCAGAGAGAGGAAGTGACTTACTCAAGGCCACACAGCTAAAAGTGGTATCATCAGGATGTAAAGGGGACCAGAGAGAAGCCATGAAAGGAGCCATGAGAACATGTTTGAGCCGAGCCCAGAGGATGAAAATGATTAGCCAGGCAGGGGGGAACATGACTTCTAGATAGTGGAATCAGAGATGTTGGGATGTTTTTCACTATTACGTCTTGTTCAAGGAACGGACTGGAAGCCAGTGGGCTGGAACACAGAGAAGGAGGGGAGAAAGGGGCAGGTTAAGAGGGCCAATCATATAGGGCCTCTTAGGCCTTGGTAAGTTCTGCCTTCATCTGGGAGACAAACAGTCTCATTGGACCAACTTGGTCACATGCCCTTCACTGAACCAGTCACAGAGGCCTGGGTGGATAGAATACACTGATTGGCTAGGCTTGCCAGGAGGAGAAGTCAGCCCCATGCAAACTTCAAGGACTGAGAGGGAGGGCTGCGTCCCCAAAGGAAGTAAACTAGAAGGACAGATGTAAATAACCCTTCATCCCCTGCAATGTGACTGGACCCTACCTCAAGGGCAAAAATCATTGATATCATCTTTTCTATTTGCAGGCATTGTCCTAAGTGTTCTACATATATTAATGAATTTAGTGAACAGAACAACCCCATGAGATACTCTTATCCCCATTTTACAGATGAGGAACCTGAGGCTCAGAGAGTTAAGTTACTTGCACTAGATCGAAAAGCTCACAGGGACAATGTTGGATTTGTTCCTGAGCTACCAAGGACCAAGACATGAGTTGGCGTGCATAGGTATTCTGCAAATATTGTATTCATCTCTTTGTTCAACAAATATTGGTCACCTACAACATGCCAGACACTGTTCTTCCGTGCTGGATATAGAGCAGTGAACAGAACAGACCAGTCTGTGCTCTTGTGGAGTGTACATTCTCCTGGAAGAGACAGACAATAGACAATAAATGATAAATAAGTGAATTATCTATTATGTTAAGAGCTGACAAGTGATATGGAAAGAAACAGAACAGGGTAAGGGATTAAAAGAAGCTTATATGTGGGCTTCCCTGGTGGCGCAGTGGTTGAGAGTCCGCCTTCTGATGCAGGGGATGCGGGTTCGTGCCCCGGTCCGGGAAGATCCCACGTGCGCGGAGCGGCTGGGCCCGTGAGCCATGGCCGCTGAGCCTGCGCGTCCGGAGCCTGTGCTCCGCAACGGGAGAGGCCACAACCGTGGGAGGCCCGCGTAACACACACACAAAAAGAAGCTTATATGGAATAATTTTAAACGGGATGGTCAGGGTAGGCCTCATTGAGAAAGTGAGATTTCAGCAAAGACTTGCAGGAGGTAGGGAGTGAGCAAATATAGAGGGAAGAGTTTTCCAGGCTAAAGGAGAAGCAGGTACTTTCGCCTGAGGCGAAAGTATAACAGGTGGGTTCCAAGAACAGCATGGAAACCACAGTGGTTGGAGGGCAGAATGGAAAACGGGAGTGGAGGACACAGAGGGGTTGGAGTAGTAGGAGATGGGTATCCGTGTGTGTTCAGGAGAACTGAAGAAATATGCAGAACATTTTCTAAAAATCCTGACCATCTGGTGTATCCATTCAGTATTATCCATTCAGATGAAGCTTGGGACTTCCCTGGCGGCGCAGTGGTTAAGAATCCACCTGCCAATGCAGGGGACACGGGTTCAAGCCCTGGTCCGGGAAGATCCCACATGCCACGGAGCAACTAAGCCCATGCGCCACAACTACTGAGCCTACGCTCTAGAGCCTGTGAGCCACAACTACAGAGCCCGTGTGCTACAAGTACTGAAGACTGTGCGCCTAGAACCCATGCTCTGCAACAAGATAAGCCACTGCAATGAGAAGCCTGCACACCACAACGAAGAGTGGCCCCCGTTCACCACAACTAGAGAAAGCTCACGCACAGCAACGAAGACCGAATGCAACCAAAAATAAATAAATAAAAATTTAAATTTAAAAAAAGATGAAGGTGAAACATTGAAGGGGCAGATTTCTACTTGGGGTCTGCTATGTCAGTTTGGCTTCAGGGCAAAGGGCTATAGAAATAGAACTTTTTTTGGGTTTTCCTGGGTGCTGGGGGTCTGGAGACCGGGCACAGACCCTGACCCAGTTCTTGAGTCTAGGGGCCCCTGAGGCCCAGGCAGACACAACACCTGCCTCCCGGCACCCCCAGCCCCATAAAGGCCATGTCTACCATGTTGGCTCATCTTTGTGTCCCTAGGGAAAGGAACACAGGTCTGGAGGAAGAACGGAGCCATCTATGAGGGGGACTGGAAATTTGGGAAGAGAGATGGCTATGGCACCCTCAGCCTTTCTGACCAAGAGACTGGAAAGTACAGGAGAGTCTACTCAGGCTGGTGGAAAGGCGATAAGAAATGTGTGAGTGGTTCCCATCATGCCCTGGGGTGTGGGCCAAGCTGAAAGCAGGCTGTGTGTGTGGGGGGGGGGGTTGGGGGGGGGGGTAATTCTTTGTTTCACTGTCTCACCACTTGATTATGAACTCCTTAAGAGTATCCTTGAATCCCTAAGATCTTGCAAAGTACTTGGCATGTAGTAAGCATTCAACAGTAATAATAATTCTTATCTATTGAACAACTACTCACTCCCAGGAATTATGCTAAGTAATTTTAACATAGATCATAAACAGAGGTTTAAAGAAACGAAATGGGGGGGTTGGGGTGGGTGGGAAGCAGTCAGAGAGGCCTGGGAGAAAAGGGTGGGGGGATCTAGGGGAGAACAGGGTTGCTGTGTGGGTGGGAGAAGGAAGGGGTGGGGGAACATCAAGGCTTCTCAGAACAAAACCCAGGAAACAGGAAGCAAGAGCAGAGGGCCCAGGGAGGAGCCCATGAAACCCTGTGGCTACAAGAAGCCAGCCAGGCTGTGAGGGGCCAAAGTCTCCTCCCAACCTCCCCACTCATTTCCTGGCTTTCTTTTCCCCTGGCATCCCTTTCTGAGAACCCCCCTTCTGTTGGGACTGGATAAGAGGTGGCAGCGGGGGTTTGGAAGAGTGGGAGCAAGAAAGAAAGCAAGCAAAAAAAAAAACAAAACAAAACAAAACAAAAAAAGCAAAAAACAAACAAACAAAAAAAAGCAAAAAATAAAATAAAATTAAATTAAAAAAAGAAAGAAAGCAGAGGCCACGCCCTTGGCCAAGAGAGGAAGGTCTTGAGGGATAGAAACCAGCCAGAGGCATGCCCCCAACCCATCAACAACTGAATCCTCACCATAGGTCATGGAGACAGATAATAATACAGTATTGCTATCGAACAACAGCTACTGTAACCCTGGAACATGATATATTGTAAACTCTCACATCAACAACAACATCATCATCACCATCATCATTATTATTCCTGATTTACTGATGAGGAAACAAGCTCAGAAAGGCGCAGAAGGTGAAGTGCCTTGCTTGGGGTCACACCACTGGCAAGTTGTAGAGCCCAGCATTTCATGATCTCTACTCTCAAAATGTTTATTGGCCAGTGGGGATAAAGCTCCCAAAATAAATATTTTACATATAATATGGTGCTAGGATAGAGGTTTTTACAGAAAGTCCAGAGGCAGTTCATTGAGAATTCAGGGCAGGCTTCCTATAGAAGGTGACACCATAAGATGCAAGGAGTTAGGGAGTAAAAAAGGAGAGGAAATACCAAAAGGAAGGATATAATAAACAGCAAGGTGTGTCTGCCCACAGGGGTGGGAGTGAGGCCTTGAAGGTTATGTAGGGGCTGAGGATGTTGAAGAGGACTTGGGCTGCATAACCCAACCTCTTCAGGGGTGATCTGCGGGGAGTTTGTGGTGATTCTCTGCGGCTGCATGATAAGTGCTTATGTCCATTTTTCTGGGGAGAAAGTCCGTAGCCTTGATCTGATTGTCAGGCACCTGCGACATTTAATAGGGTCAAATCAGAGTTGGGGAGACGGGGCAAATGTGATCAGGTAGACAACGTAAAGATCCTCCTAGGAGCTGTATGGCAGATGCATGGGGTCAGGGAAGAACGGGAGAGTGGAGGAGGTAGACCACTGAGAAGGGATGAAATGATGGTGGGCTGCAGGAAGGCAGTAGCACAAGGATAGAGGAGAATGGACGGCCTGGGAGATTTTTCGATATACGACCATCAGCTTGGATGTAGGGCTGGGGGAGGAAGCAGGGGAGAAGCCCAGGTGTGTGACTTGGGTGCCAGGGAGGATAGTGGGAGTTCCTAGTGGTGTGGGACGTCGTGAACAAGGACACCTTCGTGCTTTCAGGGCTATGGGATCCAGTTTTTCGGACCCAAGGAGTATTACGAGGGTGACTGGTGTGGCAACCAGCGCAGTGGATGGGGCCGCATGTACTACAGCAATGGAGACATCTACGAGGGCCAGTGGTGCAACGACAAGCCAGAAGGGGAGGGCATGTTACGCCTGAGTGAGTGCCTAGCCCCACCCCAAATGGCCTGTTGATCACGCCCACCCGGCCACGCCCTCAAGTCACACTCCTCTGGGCCCCACATGGCCACGCCCCATCAGACCAAGTCCCCGCGAAGCCCGGTCCCGACTGGGTTAAGCTGAATGACAGGACCCGGTCCTTGCCCTCAGGAAGTTTATACTCTAAAAGGGGAGCCTAACAATAAATATAAACAATTAAGACATTGTCTTATGGTCCTAATAGTCATAGCCTACACTTATACAGCCCTGAGCTCATTTAATCCACAATGCAATCCTATAAGACAGGTGCTCTCATCAACCGCACTTTACAAATGAACAAAGGCACAGAGAGGTTAAGTCATTTGCTCAAGGTTACGCAGTCCGTTCTGAGGTCAGAAGTGCTAAGGAATTCCCCTTGAAAACAGGAAGACATGTTGGAGAATGACAAAGGATTTGGGGTCAGGGCTGTTTAGATTGGCTTATGGTCAGAGACCGCCTCCCTGAAGAGGTGTTGTTTGAATGGAGAATGGAAGGAGAAGGAAGCGGGATATGTATTGCGCTGGGGAAGAACATTCCCAGGCAGAGGAAAGAGTTCTGAGCAGCTCGCATTTGTATCAGGACTTAATCCATTCTCTACAAAGCAAACAGAGCCAGCTTTTCATAAATTGAACCTTGTCACTGCCTTGCTTTCAACCTTTCCATAGCTCCCTATTGCCCTCAGACTCAGTTCAGAGGCCTGACTGTGGTCTGTGGGGCCCAGCATGATCTGGCCCTGCTCACCACTCCAGTTTCACATCTCCTCTTCCCCTGGACTCCCTTCTTTTTGGCCATACTAACTTTCTTTCAATTCCTCCCACTTTCTGCCTCAGGGCCCTTGCACTGCTGTTCCCTCTTCCTGGAATAGAAAGAAGATTCCCACAGGGACTTCCCTGGTGGTCCAGTAGCTAAAACTCCACGCTCCCAATGCAGGGGGTCTGGGTTTGATCCCTGGTCAGGGAACTACATCCCACATGCTGCAAGTAAGAGTTCACATGCCACGACTAAAAAAAAAAAAAAAAAAAAAAAACTCCCGCATGCTGCAACTAAAAGATCCTGCATGCCGCAAGGAAGATCCCCCAGTCAGCAACAAAGATCCCATGTGACACAACTAAGACCCGGTGCAGCCAAATAAATAAATATTTAAAAAAAAAGGAAGATTCCCCCAGATCTTTGCATTTGTACATTCCACCTAAAGCACATTCTTCTCATTATTCTCAGCACTTGCTTCCTTTCCTTCTTAGAACTAGGTGTATAATCTTGGGCGAACTACTTTGCATCTCTGTGCCTCAGTTTCCTCTCCTGTAAAATGGGAATAATGGCAGTACCCACTTCATAGGGCTATGGGGAGGATTAGATGAGGGAGTCTGTGTAAAGTGCTTAAAACAGGGCCTAGCACGTAGTAGGTTATCGATAAAGCTAGTATCATTGCCCCTCCAGACTGTGAACCTGCAGAAGGACTGGGAATGTGTCTGTTTTGTTCCCCACTGTTTCCCCAGTGCCTGCCATGTAGTAAGTAGATACTCTTGGTAAGGACACAAACCAGAGCCCAGTCTCCTGAAAACTCAAGATTCCAACTTCCAAAGAGATTTTTTTTTTTTTTTTTTTGGCTGCGTTGGGTTTTCGTTGCTGCGAGCAGGCTTTCTCTGGTTGCGGTGAGCAGGGGCTACTTGCAGTGCATGGGCTTCTCATTGCGGTGGCTTCTCTTGTTGTGGAGCACAGGCTCTAAGCACGCAGGCTTCAGTAGTTGTGGTGCGCAGGCTCAGTAGTTGTGGCACATGGGCTTAGTTGCTCCATGGCATGGGGGATCTTCCCAGACCAGGGCTCGAACCCGTGTCCCCTGCACTGGCAGGCGGATTCTTAACCACTGTGCCACCAGGGAAGTCCCTCCAAAGAGATTTGACTAAACCAAGGCACTGGGCAGCTGGGGTGGGTTAAGGGCAGCCACTCTGTCATTCTCAATCCCTTGTGCATCCGCCTCCGTGCCTGATTTCAGTGTGCATCTCCTAGTAGTAATAGCCTGCTTTCAGTGAGCACCTTCTGTGGCCCGCACAGTGAAGGAGCTCTAAGTGCACCGTTTCTAAGGCTTGGACTCTGGAGCCGGCCAGCCTGGGTTCAAATTCTAGCTCAAGCTCTTACTAGTTGTGGGACCTTGGGCAATTAATTTCTTTACACTCTCTCTGCTTCATTTTTCTCAGCTGTAAAGTAAGGAAAAAATAAAGCTTAACTAGAGTTATTGTGAAGCTTAAATGAGGTTTATATTTGTAAAACGCTTAGCATGACATGGAATAGTAAGTGCTCAGAATCAGTACATCCTTGTATGAGCTCAGCAAACTATTGGCCAAATCCAGCCCAACACGTGTTTTGTAAATAAAGTTTTATTGGCACACAGATGTGCTCGTTCAGTTATGTATTGTCCACGGGCTGCTTTTTAAAAAAAATTAATTTATTAACTTTATTTTTGGCTGTGTTGGGTCTTTTTAAATATAAATTTATTTTTTTAAATTTAATTTTGGCTGTGTTGGGTCCTCGTTGCTACACGCGGGCTTTCTCCAGCTGCAGCGAACGGGGGCTACTCCCCGTTGCAGTGCGCGGGCTTCTCATTGCGGTGGCCTCTCTTGTTGTGGAGCACGGGCTCTAGGCACGTTGGCGCACAGGCTGTAGAGCGCAGGCTCAGTAGTTGTGGCGCACGGGCTTAGTCACTCCGCGGCATGTGGGATCCTCCCGGACCAGGGTTCCAACCCGTGTCCCCTGCACTGGCAGGTGGATTCCCAACCACTATGCCACGAGGGAAGTCCCCACGGGCTGCTTTTGTGCTGCAATGGCAGAGTTGACCATGCCCAGCAGAGACCCTATGGCCCGCGATGCCGAAAACACTATCTGCCCCTTTGCAGAAAAAGTTTGCTGACCTCTGACCTAGAGTTCATCCAATACTCTTCTAAGTCCTGTCTGTGTATGAACTCATTTAATCTTCAGAATAATTTTATGAGTGAGGAGCTACTCTTGTCCCCGTTTTACAAATGAGGAAATGAGACAAAATGGTTCAGTGACTTGCTCAAGGTCACACGGTTGGTAAGTGTCTGAGCTGAGACATGTGGCTTTATTATTATTATTTTTACACCACCACCACCGCGATCCAATGGGAAGTGGAACTGATTCCCGATTAAGAGCCGGGGCTCCTGATATGAACAGGATTTGGTTTGAAACCCTGCCTCTGCCACTTCCTAGGTCTGTGACCTTGTGCAAATCAGTCAAATTCCTGGAGCTTTTCAAGTTCCATGTATAAAATGGAATCCTTCATCCTTCACAGAACTGTTTTTGTGAGAAGTGAGGTCAGAAACAGCATGGAACCAGGCAGAGAGTAAGTGCAGGAAAAACATTGCCTGTCAGTATTATTAGCTATATTTTTTAAGCTAGGAAACTATGGTGCTCATCTAAGTTCCGGGAGGTAGTGGAGGGGAGATGTGAACCAGGTCTGAAACCGGAAGTCGCTCACACCCCAGGGCTCTATGGTTTTCGGGTGGGCATGATGTCTAGCCTGGCAGTGGCGAGGGTCCAGCCCAGGGATATGTAGTCTGGCCTGGTTTTGTGGGCCAAGACCCCTGACTCCCTGTTCTTTCCCCCAGAGAACGGAAACCGCTACGAAGGCAACTGGCAGAGAGGCATGAAGAATGGGTGGGGGCGTTTCTTCCACCTGGACCATGGCCAGCTGTTTGAAGGCCTCTGGGTCGACAGCATAGCCAAGTGTGGCACAATGATTGACTGTGGCCGTGATGAGGCACCCAAGCCCACCCAGTTCCCCATTCCTGAGGTGGGAAGCTCTCCCGGATCCTGGGGCCACATGCAGCCCAGGGAGAGACAAAACAGCACCCACAGCCACACCCAGCCTGGCCGAGCCCAGCCCGTCCAGGAAACAGACAAGGTTTTGTTTTCAGTCAGGGAGACCCCAGGGAGGCTGGCAGTACCCCCCCAAAGCAGGCAGCGCCCCCGAAGGCTGGCAGCCTGGGCCTTCCATGCTCCCCAAACCGACCCCTGCTGCTTACTTCCAGGTCAAAATTCTAGATCCTGACGGCGTGTTGGCGGAAGCTTTGGCCACGTTCAAGAAGACAGAGGAAAGAGATTGATGCCAGGTGAGAGGCGGGCACACCTGCCACCCTCTGATGTGGTCCGGGGTCTCCTCTGGCCTAGGAGCTCAGGAGCTTTACCAGAGAGGGTGGGTTTCTTGCCTCCCGCAGTCCTGCCAGTCGCTTTTGCTTCCTCCCCTTCAAAACTCTTCCCTGCAGAAGTCCTGCCAAATCCTCCCATTTGCACCCTGGGCTTAATCGGATTGGAGTCAGGTGGTCTGCTCGCCCTGGAGGGGCCCCGGGCCTCCACTTGCCTGTCTGTCTTGTGGGCCCTTGTTCAGTGCTACCCGTCCTGGTGTTGGTATAAGTGGGGTCGAGGAGAGAGCATTGATACAGCATCTTGGAGACGCCAGCCCCGCCCACCCCACCCCCCTTGCCCCTGCAGAAAGAACACCAGCACTTCAGGAGGAATTGAAACCGGAGTCACCCAACTGCTCCGACTGGTGCAGCTCCCACTGGTGGAGCAAGGGGGTACTTGGGCACACACTCGGCACCCTCCGGAGGCACCTTGTTCCCCCCAGCACTGGATCATTCCTTACCAGTAGGAGGCCAGTGCTCCTTTCCCCTGCTGGCCTTAGGGATGCGTTTATTCTTGGACCCCATCCCTGAGCACCCCAGAATAAAGGAGAGCCTGGCAGCGTGAGCCTGGGGCCTGTGGTAGGTGGCCGGGGTGCGAGGGAGCCTCAGGAGGGGTTTCAGGTAGAGAAGAGGGGTCCCCATGGGTTGCATGAATTTACCTTGGGGCAGAAAGGGGTTGGTGCCTCCAGGTCTCTGATCTCTGACATATTCCAAGATAGAGCCCGCATCTGGTTACATTAGTCACTAAGATTTGGCATTAAAATGTGACCTGGCTTCTCAGCCTAACATAGGGGCTCCCAACCTTGGAGTCCTGTGGGAGATTTAAAAGCTAGGAATGTCCGGATCCCATGCCCAGAGATTCTCATCTGTCTGGGGTGAGGCCTGGGCCTTCAAAAAGCTCCCCAGCTGACTCTCTGCAGCTGGGGCAGAGAACCTCTGACTTACTGGCTTTGTGATCCTAAGTAAGTGACCTCAGTTGCCCCATCTGTAAAATGGGACTTCAGAGATCTCAAGAGGTGTTTTGAGGATTTTCTAGCAGATGTAAAAATAACAAATAACACGTATTAAGATTAGTTGTAAAGCAGATTTCTGGAAAAGGCTTTGTATAATTCTAGACAACATTCCTGCAAGATAAGAGGAACTCTTACATAATGGGTAGGAACAGGAGTTCTGCAGTGACTCCTTGAGTGTGAATCCCAGCACTGACTTATTAACTGTGTGTTCTTGTGTAGTCACCCAACCTCTCTGTTCTTCGTTTCCTCTCCTCTAATATGGGACAATAACAGTACTTACCACCAGGGGTTATTGTGGTTACTGGAAGAATGAAATAAGGTGTGGTTCTAACCCGAGGGAGGGTGGTTTTGTCCCCCTTCCTTCCCCGGGAACATCTGGCAAAATCTGGAGACATTTTTGGTTGTCACAACTGGCAGGGAAGAATTCTACTGGCACCCAGTGGGTAGAGGTTGTGATCCTGCTAAACATGTTATGATGTAAACACTCTACAGAATTATTCAACCCAACTTCAACGGTGTAATACCATGAAATAACCCTGAAATACCACGATGTTCATAAAGCCCTCAGCAAGTACCCAGCATGTAGTAAAGCATTCACTGATACTGAAGTTTTCTCTGCCATCTAAATCCCAAGCAGGTGGGCCGACCCACGGCATGGTTCTCAATCGGTACCTCTGAAGCCGGGAAGCTGAGCCTGGCTGCCTCTGGACACATAACCAACCACCGAGCGACTCAGTGCTAGGCCCAGCACTGACAGCTTTACACGGGTGCTCTCCCATGACCCCTCAAGAACCTATGAGGTGTCCTGCTATATTATTCGTGTCATTTTAGAGGAGGAAACTGAAGTTCAGGGAGGAAGTGACTGTGCTTAAACTTAGGCCTGTCTGCTCTTAAGGTGAGAACAGTGGCAGTGCGTATAGAAAACTACCATTTTTTTCAGAAAAGGTAGGATGTGTACTTGTTTATGTATAAAATCTCTAGATGGGAACAAAATAAACTGGCAACAATGGTTGTCTCTGGGGAGAATTGGGAACCTGGAACAGGGGAGGGACAGCAATTTTTCACCGCTGTGTTTGAAAGCTATGTATTACCTACCCAGGTCTCTGCAGAAGCAGGGAGGTGGGTATCTTAGGGGAAGGATGGAAGATGACTAGGTTTTCTCTGGGGAGCAGTGGAGATTTTCACACAGGGGCACCTGCCCCACCCTACTCGGTCCCAGTCAGAGGGCCTTCTGGGGACAGGGGAGGGGTGGGTCCTGGTGTATGTGATGCAGGACGGAGGCAAGAAGCTGCAGTAGGATAAAGGGGGCCCCCTCCCCCACTCAGCCCACCAAGCTGCTGTGGCCATGTCCAAGTCTGCACAGGACAAAAGCTTAAGGCCACACTTTCCCACAACCAACTTTCACTTCAACCAGAGCACTTGTGTTTTTATAAAACCACTTTCTGTATCAGGTTTATGGGACAGAATGAGCTGTCAAACACAAAGGCCCTCTGGGGCCAGGTGAGTAACATATGAAGCTGGGCTGGTGTCATACAATAGGGAGTGGTGGGGACTGTGGCAAATACATCTCTTGGGTAAGAGGTAGCTGCAACTCAGCTCCTGTTCATTGCTGCTCTGCAAGAAGGCGGGCCCAGTAATGCTGCTGCTGGATCTTCTGATTTCTTAAGCAAAGCCAGAATCAGTCTACGTAAGATTTTTTGAGTGTCTAGGCTCTGAGCCAGATTTCCAGGCTCAAAAATGTATCCTCTTTGGACATCAATTTTTGTCATCTGCAAAATGGAGAAAAAATTCCTCCCCAAATGCACAACCTGATCATACAGATGAGGAAATATCAGAGAAACAAGACAGAGGCAGCATTCTACAAAACCACTGGCTCACGCATAGCACAGGGGAGATCAGCTCGGTGCTTTGTGACAGCCTGGAGGGGTGGGATAGGGAGGGTGGGAGGGAGGGAGACGCAAGAGGAAAGAGATATGGGAACATATGTATATGTATAACTGATTCACTTTGTTATAAAACAGAAACTAACACACCATTGTAAAGCAATTTTACCCCAATAAAGACGTTAAAAAAACAAAACAAAACAAAACACTGGCTCAGACACTTCAAAAATGTTGATATTACAAAGGACAAAGAAAGGCTGTCCCAAATAAAAGATGACTAAAGAGACATGACAACTCAATGCAGTGCATGATCCTGGATGGAAAAATCACTACAAGAAAGGACATGATTGGGACAAGAGGGAAACTGAAAACGAATGTTGTTGTATTAGATAATAGTATCGCATCAAATTTCCTGAATTTGATCATCGAATTGTGGTTATGTAGAGGAATGTCCTTGGTTTAAGGAAGAAATCTGTAACTAATGCACATGGCTCAGGGGGAAAACATACTGTCATTCTCATTACTCACAGTTTCAGTATTTGCAAATTTGCCTACTTGCTGAGGTCAAACAAGGTGACCCCCTGCCTTCATTCAGCTCATGCTGTAAACAAGTATCCTTTTCACAGTCTATTTAGTGCTACGGTTTTCACATTTTGGTGCTTTTTGTTGGTGATTTCACTACTTAAAATGGTCCCCAAGGGTGACAATGAAGTGCTGTCTAGTGTTCAGCATCACAGCACAGGAAGGCTGTGATGTTCCTTACGGAGAAAATATGTGTGTTATGTAAGTTTCAGTCACAAATCAGTGATAGTGCTGTTGTGATAGCAATAGCGTATAAGTTCAATGTTATATATAACATATATTAAGGCGTTTTTAAAAAGAAACACACAAAAAACAAGGCTGTGTATTGATTGGTTGACAAAAATGTTGTGACCAGAGGCTCGCAGGAACATAACCCCATATTTCTCTTAGGAGAAATACTCACTAATTCAGTGTTCTGTGACTATAGAACAGAACCAATGCGAATAAGAATTGACTGTATATATATTTCAGTTACTCTTCATGGACCTTTTGGGGGTAGGTTTGAAATTTCCCAAAATGTTGAAAAAAATTTTTTTGTTTAGAGGCTCACCTATTGGGGCACCAGGAGAAATACCAGGCAGTCCAGACCCAACAAATACAGACACAAGAGGAGGTGTCCCTTATGAGTATATTTCTGTGTTCGCACACGCACACACACGCACACAATCGACACTGAACGGGGAGGGGGGTCAAGACGGAAAGGACAGGAGGCACCCAGGTGGCACTGGCACAGGGGAGGAGGGACAAAGGGAGCGTTTGTCCCCTCTCTGGCTCCCACCGGTGGCTTCCCAACAGCATGTGAACCTGGAGCTGGAAGAACAGGAAGTGCTTATTCTCTTAGAGGAAAGTTTCAAAGTGCAGTAATTTCTCTTTAAAAAAAGCCTCTTCCCTCCACTCTCTGCCCCCTGACAAAAGCCCAGCCCCCTATACAGGCTGTCCTTGAGGCTGGGCCGGGACAAGGTTGTGGGGAAGGGCGTTAAGGCCAAAGCTCCAAAGTGCCCAGCCCTGGAGGGCTTAGGCATAGTGGCTGCCGGGGGTCAGGGGGTGGTCCCCTCTGTGGTCCAGCTGGTCCTGCAGGCGGGCAAACTCGGCCAGCTCATTGAGCTCCTGGAACTGTCGGTCCGTCTTATGGCTGACCAGTGAGCGGTAGAAGTGGACAGCAAAAACGATAAAGATCAGGCCGAAGGGGACCATAATGGTGGTGGAGGCGATGGCGGCGGCCTGGCCTGGGGTGATGCCGCCGGTGCTGCCGCTGACGTTGGCGGCCACGCCGCTGGCAGGGGGCTTGCTGGTGGGCCGCGCCTGACCCGGCTGTTTCTTGAGAGGCAAGAACTTGACCCAGCAGAGCAGCACGACCTCAGCCAGGAAGAGCAGCGTGCCGATGACAGTGGAGAAGGCCCAGGCCAGCTCGATGTGGCGGTGCATGCGCTCGTGGGGCGACTCTTTGACCGAGTTGAGGTTGTGCACGTTGCTCACCGCCTCGATATTGGGCAGGATGCAGGTGCTGATCATGAGCGCAAACAGGTGCACGGCCACCAGCACCGTGGTGCAGGCACTGAAGGCGATGAGCAGCCCCGGCGGGTAGTCGTGGTCAGCGTCCAGCTGCACCTCCACCATCGCCACCTGGGGTGGGGGGGAGGAAGAGGTGGGCTAAGTGACCGGATAGTCATGGCTCAGAAGCTCTCCTCCCATCAAGCTCTGGGACCCTGGGTAAGTCACTTAGCCTCTCTGAGCCTCAGTGTCCGTATCTGTATAATGGGGAAAGTAAGACCCACCCACTTAGGGTTGAGAAGCGGCAGCAAGTACTGGTAGAGGGCACAGGCTTGGAGCCTGGGCTGCCTGGATTTGAATCCCAGTTCTGCCACTCATGAGCTACGTGTCCTTAGGAAAGTCACTGAACCTCTCTGTGCCTCAACTCTCTTATTTGTAAAGTAGGGATATCGTATCAGTCAACAGGATTATTTTAACAATTAAGTGAGAGCTCCTGGTAGATGGCAAACACCTCCCAAATAGTAATCATCACAAATGGTTAAAATGGTAAGTTTTATGTAAATTTCACTATGACAAAAAAGTTTACATGAATGAAA